AGCCTTGATCCCTGTGACAGGTTAAAAGGCAAATGCTGAAGGGACTGAGCAATTTTTGTCCTCTACCCCATGTACATCTGGGGTTCCTGCTTTAAAAAAGCCCTCCTGTTATAATGCATATGAGAGTACAGTTAAATAGAAACAAGTAATAAATTATTAGATAAACAAGCAGATGTATTGTGTGTAGAAAGTTAAAAATTTATTTGTTTATCCTTAATATTGTTGTTATTTTTAATTGTTATCATATAAAATGATTTGTCAGTTTGATTTTTTTTCCTTAGGATATTTTTTTAATAAAGCAAAACATTAGAAATTAATGTTTTTTGTTATAAATATTTTTATTTACATAATATATGAAGATGTCCTTAAAATGTACTTGTTACTACTTGGGTCTTGTCTAACTTTTGTATTAGTAAATATTTCAATATAACTCCTCTTTAAAAGCAGTTATTGCTTTGCATCTGAGTTACTATGAAAAAGCATTATCATGACTCTACTTCTGAAGATAGCTACAATGTAATTATTACATGCTTGTTATCACTTAGTGATAAATTAGTAGCAAATCATTCCAAAAAAAGTATTCTCTCAAAGAAGATTACTCAGATGTTATGATAAGCATACAGTTAGCAATTGAGGTGTAGGTTTATTTTTGTTCAGTCAAGTTTAAGCATAGTAAATAAAAGAAAAACAGTACATTGCACATTTCAACTAAGACACTTTTATACAGATATGTTTCCTGTAAAAATATTCTTATAAAGTTGTTTTTTGTTAAAATCTTTTAAAAAGTTGCTTACCAAATATAAAGTATATTTGTTTGTTTTTTTTTTTTTTTAATGAATTTAAGAGAGCAGACTTGTTTGAATTTTAATTGTTCCATTTAGTTAAATATAAGGAAACTTCAATCCTGAAATCAAGACCTTGAAATGTTCAAATAACATTTTAAAAAGAAATCTTATGATAAACTCTTTCAGTTCACATAAATTTTTTTTATAAAATGTAGGCACTTTCAGAATTACAGATACAAACAGAAAATGACTTGCATAATTATATTAAATAAAAAAAAAAAAATCTTTTTTCATAAAGCAGAAATGGAAAAATTCTTTTTATGAGACTTAGTAAACTTATAAAAAAGAATTTATACGATTTATGAAGACAAGTTAAGAACATTCCATATTACAACACTTTTGTTCTCATCATTTTATTATTTGAAATCTTTTATATCCTTGTTCTTAAAGAATTTATGTCTAGTTGTGGTAGGGGAGATATCTTAAAAAGAAAAGTGTTTATCAAAATTTAATGGAAGCCTTTTGTAGTTTCATTTGGCTGCAGATTTGATTGAGAATCAAACATAATTGATGGTGTATTAGAAATCTTTTAAAGTTGACTAATTTGTATAATCTTTATATACTAATTAACCTTTAGCACTCTGTATTATTAATATTATTTACCTTTCCACTGCATTCTTTTTTCAAGGCCTCTCAGTTTTAGTAACCTTACTGTTAATCTAACTCAAAGTTGTTTTCTGTTGCCCTAGCAGGATATGACAACACATCAATGAAATTCAAACACACTATTGTTCAGGGATCAGGGTTATCTTCAGTGGCAGGATAAACTTTTTGTACAGCAAATGAAGTCACATAGAGAGCAATAAAGGTTATAGAGAAAATAAATTATTAATTGTTCTTATAAATGATTTCATCATGATAAGAAGATATATAAATTCATTTGTTTAATGAAATTATAATAAATGCTTTTAGTAATTCTTACTTGGGGTATTTCTACCAGTTTTGAGATTAGTGAAAAAGTCAAAATATAAGAGTAATAGTAATGACATAAAAATATCTTGTTTGCTAATGTATGACATCTTGATCCCAATGTTCATGGATGTCAACATCATTCTATAGATAATCAAAGCATTATCCTTGGCTGTTGAAATCTATTATATTTTGTTTTACAGAGTATGTTTACCCTATGTATAACCATCTTTGTAAAGCTTCTGGTGGGCTAGAGAACTTAGTCCACTCTCTATTTAGTCCATAGCTGTGAGATGGAATCATAAAGTGAATGTGACAAACTCGACTGCAGTTTGAATTTGGCTTGCTGATTTCTCATTCCAATTTGCTAACTATTACACTATTTGCACATCTTCTAATGTATATCTCGATCAAAATTAAATTATCATGCTAACTTGTGAATTGCTAGTGTATCATGCTGGGACATTGGTCTTTTTCAAGATCATGGATTTACTTGGCAGTGTCTATTTCCTTTCCATGTAACATGTTACACATTGAACTGGTTACATGGTACTAGCTGTAATGAGTAATCTCTATACAATATAAACCTTTATTTCTTTTGCTTATTTTTTTTTTTACTTACAAGTATAATATATAATTAGTTTATAAACTTATAATGAATTATATTTAATTGTTTTTTTTTCAAAGAGTCTTCTATTAATGAAATCTAAATGAGGAACCAGTTAACATCAATTTTTGCTATAGTAGTTTATATCCTAGGATATTATTAGCAAATTAAAGCTTGGTCATTTTTGTAATGAGTTACTAGTTAAAGGATATCTTTGGCTATAATCAAAACCCAACTGTTCTTAGAGATTCATTTCATTTGTTGTTGCTCATCTATTTTGATTAATTAGTGAAGTATAAATTAGTATCTTGTCCTTTTAAAAAGATATGACCAAACAATAAAGAATTCATAAGTATAAATAAACATTAGTTATATTGCACGGGAGCACATTTTTTTGGGGGGGAAAATTATCACATGACTATCAAGGCTTTAGAACTTTAATTATAAAGGAGCCATAATTAATTCATATGAATCGGCCACATACTACTTAAATTTGAAATAGTTGAGATTTTACCAACACTGGAGATTTAAGTTTTAACCCAATTTATTTTTTTCCTGAATTTTCTCTGGTTCCTTTATATATATATAAATATATATATAATTTTATTTCATTTGTTTTTTTTTACAGTAAGGTTCATCCTGTACAAGGCTCAGAGGCGCTAAGGTAGAGGGTTACGATAAGGGGTAATTTTTATATATATATATATATATATATATATATATATATATATATATATATAATGTAACTTTTGTAGAAATTCATAAAAATAACCTTTTAATTTTATAGTTTTTGTATTTTATAGACTGATGTTTGATAATTACTCTCAGTTAAACTTGTACTTGTTTGTATGCTACTTGAAACCTTAGTAGAGAAAGTATGATTGCAATTATAGGATAAGGAAGCAAAGATGATAATTATTTTAAACTGACCCTACTTATTTACATTGGATTGAAGAATTTCTTTTGAAAAACAGTTGAAAAGAAATTTTATTGAGTGAGACTTTAAATAATGTATTCATGTGAGTAGTTTTAAATATTGGGGCTTAACTGCAACCAAAAAGAGTGATTCATCATGACGCAGGAAGTAGATGAATGTGATTTAAAAAGAAAGAAATGCCCATAGCTATTATAGTTTCATTTTGCACAAAATTCTTTCTCGCCTACATCATATTTTCTTTTGTGCTTTCTGCTTTTATAACTTTAATATTGGAAATCTGTTTGTTAAAAACTACAATATTTTAAAAAAAAAAAAAAAAAAACATTTTTTTTCATGTGAACTCTGAGTAAAATAAAATGGACTTAATCATTAAATTGTTTCATTATTATGCTTGACTAGATTTAATGTACTGCTGAGAGTAATATGTGTTTGTTATGATATATTAGATGCAGCTGAATATTATTCACTAATCCAACATAGTGACTTTAATGATATCAATCAAAACTGAAAAATCTCTATTAATTTCATGTTGTTTACATTAAATGGTTATTCTGAAAATGTTTCTTTTATTTATAATGTTCTTGACTTTGTCTTTCATTATTCTTTTTTTTTATTTAAAATGATTTTTCATTGTTTCAAATCAGTTGTTTAATATTTTATGGGACTATATCATCATGTTTTCACTTTGCTTATATAATTTATCATAATGAGGTTTATAACATTTTTGAGGGAGATTTTGATCCTTTCAGCAGCCATTGTTACCATCCAGCTTAAAACTTGGAAACCTATATTAAAAGCTGGAAACATTGTTAGGTTTTAGGTTAACACCTAAAAACTATATTTATATTTCACAAGATATTGAGAAATTATTATATTAGTATTGTCTGAATGATTGCTGTATTAGTAAGAATAGTATTGCAAGTCCAATTTCTAATCACTGAAGTTAAGCAACATTAAGTCTGGTCAGTACCTAGATGGGTGATCAGTTAGAAATACCACGTACTGTAAGCTTGCATGTGCGGGGGGTGTAATGGATAATGTCTCAGAATTGTTAAATGGAAAGCTGGGTTCAAATTCCTGTTGTGTTTGTTATATTCACTTATAGGCAAATACAGTTGGGGAAAGGTATGAGATCACATATTCTAACCCCCCCTGCTGTGGGTTAATTAGTAAGACTTTTATCACTAAACTATTATTACCTTTTTTTTTTTTTTTTTTAAAAAAAAAAGAAATTCTTACAATCTAAAATCTGGCTTTAAATAACCTGCAAAGGGTTGGTGAGCCATAGAAAATGAATCAAGCATCCTTTTAATTGATCTTTTAGATGGGAATAATATGGTTTTGCAGATTAAACTAAAATATCCTTTTTAAAGTTTGAAGAAAAATACTGAACACCATAAGTTACAACAGTTGATGGAGATGAGAATGAACCAATGAAAATTCTGTGCCCAAAATGAACAAAATGTGAATGTTTTTTCCTGGGAGTTAAGTGAAGTCATTGTTATAAAGTTTCTTATTAAAAAAACATCTGTTCAAAAGACAAATCAGCACTGGGCAATTTGTTCTGAAAATGCTAGTTTTAAAAGTTTTTATCATTTTATTTTATTTTTTCAGCACATATTGCACACAGACATATTTTTTATTGAGCACTTTTTAAGCTTGAATTTTATCTTTAATCGTTCTTTTTATTTTTCATCTTCAGAAAGAAACGCCATCAGATCAGCAACTCCACTTGGCAGCCCTGCAAGGCAATTTGGACCAATTATGTAAAGTTTTAGACAGTGGTAAAGTTCATGTGGACTGTAAAGATAAGGTGAGTACTAGTTTTATTTTTACTGTTCCAACTTTGTAGTTAGCATAATATTCTCATTCTTTATATTCTAAATGTCAGTATAATTTATTTTGTAACAATAAAATTAACAACCCAAGCTTCTTTTTTTTTTTTTTTTTTTTTTTTTTTTTGATGTGGGGTAATTTCTTTTTTAATTATGCATATTTTATTTTGAGAAATGATATTTGGTAATATCTATCATTGAGTAAAAAAAATTATATAACTTTAATGCTTTCACCTTACTTTTGAACATATTTAATTCTGTTATGTTTGATTACATAATAGTAATGAAACAAAGAAAAATCATTTAATTACATTACATTTATAAGGCTTCATTGAGTATGTTATTCAATATTTACCTTTATTTTTAATCTATACCTTTCTCATCTTATTTCTACCATTTTAAAAGCATTTGTTAGTTTTCTCTCTCTCTCTCTCAAGCCTTCATTCCTTGTTATGCTCTAAAAAGATTCAGTTTTCTCTTTCTGATTGTTAGCGGAAGCTTCTTTGTAATTGCTCTTTTTCTTAAAACTTCCTCATTTCTCACATGTTTTGTCCATGGTATTATCAGTATTCATTGACAGAAGTACATCACTGTCACTTCAAGTCTTTTTTCATTAGTGAAAAAATTATCCAGCTTTCATTGCTGCACAGGAAGGTAGACATGTAGCAGTCTATCACTCATTTTTTTATTTCTAATTTTATTTTATGATACCTTTGCACCTTATTCAAAAAATATCATTGCTGCATAGGAAGGCAGACATCATGTAGCAGTCTATCACTCATTTTTTTTATTTCTAATTTTATTTTATGATACCTTATTCAGATTCTGAAAAATATCTCTTAGAGCTCCTATGTGCCTTTGAATTTCTGTGTTGCACGTTCTAACATCTGCCTAGATAAATGAATTTCTGCATTTGTTTAATTTTGACATCCCCAATGTGTAATTTGACTTCTCCAGCTCTCTCTTTTGCTCATCACCATGCATTCCATTATCTAGCTATTAGTGATCATTCTTCTCCTCTTGCATTCTTTAACTACTTTGTTTAATTGTTCTTTCAGTTTTTCTTTCTGAAATTGTTATCAACACAGGGTTATCTGTATAGTATATGTTGTTAAAGTTGCATCTGATAATGAATTTTAGTAGGGTTTCTAATTCTTTTAGAACAATCTAGTTAAATAAATATGAGAAAACATATCCTTGTCTTACTTCTCTTTCTAGTTTGGTATACTCACTTAATTCATTGTCTATTTTAACAATTCATTTCCTTCTAATACAGATTGTGAATTATTCATATATTCTTTCCGTGTAGATCAAGCTTTTCTAACATTTCTAGAGTTTATTCATTACTATCTCTTAAGTATTCTTTGACACTATATTTACAAATGTATTAAATCATTTTATCTTCTGCATATATAAATACTAGTGTAGTTTCAATAAAGATCTCAAATACTACAATGCAGACATGATTTTACTTACCCACTCTAACTAATGCTATGATTGTTAATGATTGTTAAATTCCTAATACCCTCTTTTTTGAAAACTAAAGGCTTTGAATACATGTTAGAAAAAGTAAAAAAGTCAATGGAATGTTTGCCCACATTTAATAAAATTCTGAAATATATGTTAGCAAAACTTTCTGCATTAAAAATAGTTAAACCCATTCATTGTCCAACAGAGACATGGTATGGAATTTTTTGCTTAGCAAAGAAACAATATGTTGATACTTCCATGTATAAATTAAGGAATAAGTCATATTGCATGTATTACTGAAAATGGAATAATCAATATTACATGTGTGGCTGTGAATGTTTTGAATTTTATATCTGCTACCATTTTTTGGTTTGCATTACCAAAAAATTGATTGATTTGTTTTTTTATGTCTTATCAACCTTCTTGCAGGTTATTTAAAGTCAGAAAATATTTTTAGATTGTAAGATTTTATTTATTTATTTTTTTTTTGATATAATAATTTACTGATACAAGTCTTACTAATTAATGCATAACTGGAAGAAGAGGTGGCTTCATACCCTTTCCAAAGGGTGTTTGTGCATGAGTGAATACAACAAAGCCAATTGCTATTGGAACTTAACTGTCCGATTTCCAATTCTAAACTGTTATCCATTACCCCCCCCGACCATCACACACACACACACACACACACACACACATCCAAGCTTACAGCAGCTGGTGTTTCCAAACAGTCACTCATTTAGGTACTGGCCAGGCTCAATGTTACCTAATTTCAGTGATCATATGCAAACCGGTATTTCAACATGACATGGCCACAAGCCACTACTAACTTAAAAACAGCAAAAGAAAAAAAAGATACCCTCTTTTTCTGTACAAATAATACAGCTGAAGAAAGTTGTAGTATGGATTGGTTGAAATGTAGGAACAGTATAAACAACTCAAAGAATGAGTTCAATTAAACCCCTTGTCTGTCATTGAATGTTTGAATTTAGATGCTGTACTCATTCTAAAGTTAATAAGAAACTTATATTCTGTTGTATAATATGAAATCTTAATTGAGACTGTGATGGTCACAATATCAGGAACTTTATGAATCTCCTTTCCATTTAGGCAACCCAAACAATTATTTCCCCACATGTCTAAGAATTGAAATGCCAAGAACCATAACTGAGTATTTTTATTTACTTTTCTGAAACAAAAAAATTGTTTTTTCCATGATTACACAAGCAATTTCAGATTTTCAAATAAAATTGGAGTATTTTCTTGTTTTAATAAGTCTTATACAGTTCTCTGTCCTTCATTATTCATCATTGTATTTAAACTTGCAGTAAATGTTTTGTTACCAATTATTCATTTTTTAATGTTTTCATAACCCCTGTCCAATAAAGATTATCTTCAGTATTTGCTTCTTTTAAGACCTGATGCTTTCTTTTGCTATTCATAGGTAATTATGATAAGAGCCAAATATCCTCCTTAATATGGGTCACTGCTTAATAGCTGGCCTTTAGGCCCCTGCCATTATAATTAGGCTTCTACCACCATTTAACCCAATTGCTTTGTCATAATTTACTTGTCACTTTCAAGCTAGATTTTTTCACCATTGTCATTATCATATTTTCACACACACACACACACACACACACACACACACACACAAAGATTGTTGTTTAAATGTGTTTTTTATTTGTTGTCAGTACATATAAATGTAGATATTTACTAGGCTTAGCTTAGTTTGACACAAGGTCACAATAATAGAGGAGCCAGTGAGGGCCAATCTTACTTGCTAGCTATCAGCCAATGATAGGTGTCCAATTTTTTATATAAACATAAAAATATTATTAAGGTTAGTCACCTTGAAAGCATTTTTTAATATAGGATCAGTGCATGTTGAAATATGGGTTGATCACCAAAGTTAAGCAATATTCTGTTAGCTCAGTAAAAGGTTGGTAATTTTTGAGAATACAAAACAAGTTTTTTTTTATAGTATAAATGTACATTGCTATATTTTATATGATCTGAGATCTAGATGATTTGTTAAACTCAATGCCAGTAAGTTTTATAATTTTGTTACTTTTATGGTACAGATATACCCCCCAAAAAAGAAAAAAAGGCATGGCATGTTGAATTAGAACAATTTATCCATGGACTAAATAAAGGGTTTGGTTTGAAATTCTAATGTGTATCACCTGAAAAAAGCCAGAGCGTACAACAACCAAAACATTGGGAATATGGCAATAAAGATGAGAACAACAGTAAATAATTACAATATCTCATCTCAGAAATATAGACAGATATCTGAAATTATTTTTATTTAAATTATTGCAGAAGCTTTTTCTGCTTTACTGAGATTCTCCTACCCAGAACCTGTACTAGAATTTCAAACTTCTTAATTATTAGCATTAGCCTTTACTCATATCTGCAAGTTAATTTTGTAAAACAAATTTTCTAAAGATTTACACAGAGCTAATAAAATTTTATCTGTCTCTACATTTTTGTCCTGAACTATGAATATAAAACAAGATTAAGTTAATTGAAATGCAGAACAAGAACCTAAATCATTTATTATTTGGTGAAAGTAAATAATTTCACTCATGAAACATCATGTCACCATTTTGATCCAAAATATTATACATGTAGTAAATTGATGTGATTCTGTTCTCCATAATATCAATTCCCAAGGGAACTTAACCTAGAAATGATGAAATGCTTCCAATGATTTTTTTTATACAAAACTTCAAAAAATATTTATGGGTTTTACAGCAATTTGTCACCACCAAGTTTCACATAAAAAAGACTTATTTTTTTTTAATGTTATCTTGTCAACAAATACTGTTTAATGGTTTAAGTAAGATTGACTCATGTTCATTCTGGTCTCCTGTTGAGCAATAAACTTTAGGAGTTTAGGTTGGAGAGTGGGCAGTTTTATGATGGAAACTATAAAATGATCTGTTATCAATTCCCAATGAAGTAAACTTGTTCCAATGAAATAACTGATTCATAGTGACTCACATATGCCTTAAGATCACACTGTAAAATCTGTCATACACTGTATATCAGTAAAACAGGTTTAGTCACAGGTTGTGTCTGGTCTCTGCTTATTTATCCTAATATAGTAGTGACATCTGATACTAACTTTGATGTCCAGATAAATTTTAGCTGTTCAACTTGTTAATCATAAAACAACCTGTTCTAAATAATAAAAATCGTTGTTTGAATCTCAATGCAATCATCTAGATTGGAACTTTTCAAACTGGTGTGCCATTATACTTTACTTTGTTTCAAATTATTTTCTTCAATTATTGACTAATTTTTTCACTGCATTATTTCTTTTTTAGATACATTTTGAATTATATATTTGGCCTTGCTTAACAAAATTTATGCAATGTGTAAGAAAAAACATTATTTTTAAAATGTGTATAGCCAATAGAAAATGTTTGAAAATTTTTTAACTAGACTGTAAATAATGCTTTGCCTTTCCATAAATCCAAAATATGATTTTATGGTTAAT